GAGCCGCCCAGAATTGCATCATGGCAGGTGGCAAAAGTGGTGGCGTTCTTGGAAAAGGTTAAGAAACGATCATTTCAATATCATCACCAAAAACAGGATAAAATTTCGTAAAAAAAGTTCCAGTTTTTAGCGCTCCGGTGGCTTTGGAGGCGTTCAAAAGATCTCTGCTAGCTTGCCTTGAGGGTCCCTTTAAAATGCAAAAAATCGTTCTCAAGGTGCCTCTGCTAGCCTGCCCCATTTCCCAAATTAACCCTGCTAGCCTCCCCCTTAGATTAGAATCTATAGCCGTCGGAATTGGGCCTATAGGGCCGCGTCTGGGTCCTTAATAAGCCCCCCAGGGCCCCCCTCCCTACCCCTTAATTGGCGTGAAAGAGGGAATGAGATGCCCTGCGGCTATACACAATTCAATTTCTCTCTCTCTCTCTCTCTCTCTCGCTCTCTCTCTCTCTCCCGTCTCTCGCTGAGAAAGCCCTCCTCCCCGCATAACAAAAGTCGTATTAGTTTTGGCCAAATTTAGCACCTATGGTACGATTTATTTTTGGCGGGACCGGCACTTCCGGTAATTCGTTCCGTGACTGTACTGGGTATGGGTTCGGAAATTGGCGTGTCTAGCTGGGAAAATGCGAATTTGGGGTCTGAGCAGGCTAGCAGAGATTATTTGGGAAGTTTTTAAGACCAGGGCAGGCTAGCAGAGACAATTTAAAGTTTCAGATTTTTTAGACTACGAACTACATACTACAATCGCCATTAAAATGTAGCAAGGCCTCAAAAAATGGCTGTCTCTTGCAAGAAGGGACAGCTCGAGTGGCCGGGCCGAGCCGTCCGCCCGGCTGTAATTTGTACAGCGCCGGTGCCGGAGTGGACACAACCACCGGGTAGAACGAGGCGAAATTCGCCCCGTTCCCACAATGGGTGAAGCGGAAAGCTTTTTATCAAGGCGAAACGGGGCTCTAAAGCTTATCAGAAGAGGGTGTGACCTTGCAGAAGCGGAAATGTTGCCTTTTAGCGCTTCAACGTGGAAAAAATCGTTTTAAAGGGATCGGGAAGGCAAAATCTCAGCAAGATTCGGTAAGTCAGGCAAGCTAGCAGAGATTCTTTGGGATGGTTGAGAGCACAGAGGTCTGGTAAGCCAGGCAAGTTAACAAAGATTTTTGAGGAATTCCCCCAGGCAGAGATTATATAGTCTTCAAAATTTCCAAACCGCACATATTTCCGGAAGCACTTCGACTCCCAGAAACCCGATAATCCAAGGCTCCACTCTAATCCGGACGTCTAAAACCCCCCAGGATCCCATTCATTCCCCAGTGATCTCTGCTAGCCTGCCCTCTCTCTCTCCCTCTCTCTCTCACTCTCTCGCTCTGGGTTTCTATGGCTTTGATCCGGCCCTTTGACCCAAGCATACAAAGGGTTTATGACCCCCGAATCTCCGTCCGGCATTATGCAGAGTGCGGTCGAGTGTTTTTGGGGTCGGTCCGCAAAGGGTTTCTGCTAGCTTGCCTAGGGAAGCATGGTTCCTAAGTAATCTCTGCTAGCAGCCTTGGAACAGTTTCCAAAATGTGCTATGCTAGTCGCTTAATATTGCTGATGAATCCAAGAAAACGGGATCAGAATTGGATTGCTAGCTGCCCTGAAAAAAGGTTCAAAATAGCGTGGCTACAAAATATAGGTGAGACCGAAATCGAGCAGAGATCTTTTAGGAAAATTTATGAGATCAGCTAGCGGAGGATCTAGAAGAAATTCTGCTAGTTGAGCCTGGATGATTAACGTGAGTTCAGGGAGGCGAGCTAGCAGAGATACCAAAATTTTTGTGATATCCAAAACACCGGAATTGAATCCGTATTCCCAAAGCATCCCTGCTAGCAGCACCAAAAACATTCAAAAACCCGGAGGATTACAGCTAAAAAAGAAAAACGTTGGTTGGTCTGGTGCATTCTGTGAGAGGAGGTGGCTGTGGTTGAGGGGGGTTCGGGGCGGCTCGCGGAAATAGACCGGGCGAATTGGCGCGAAAATCGGACGGGGGGAACCGGGCCGACACACACAGCACCCTCTGCACACCCAGATATTCCTGCCTCTAGCCAAAGGGAAGGGGGGGGGGGGTGGAGGATTCTATGGGAAAATCGCGTTCGCATAGACACCCACACTTGATTGAAACGCTCAAAGAATCTCTGTTAGCTTCTTGTTCCTAAAGAAACACAGCTAGCCTGCCCGGACCTCTTGTTCCCAAAGGATCTCTGCTGGCCTGCCAGCTCCTTGATTCTTCAAGGAACACGGCTAGCTTGCTGCCAGTTTCCGCTAGGTTTCTCCTTCTTAAATGATCTCTGCTAGCTTGCTCCCAGGCTTGCATCGGCTAGCTTCCCAGAACCCACCTCCTAAACTATCTCTGCTGGCTAGCCACCGGCCTCTAGAGAGCTCTGTTAGCTTTCCCCAGTCTCTAAAAAAGTTACAAAGGCAGGCTAGCAGGGATTCTTGGGGAAATGCTGGAATCTTAGGGCAAGTTGCCACAGATAATCGAGGAACAGGTTAGTCAACTAGCAAAGGTCTTTTGGGAAGCCAGCAAGCAGAGATAAAGATGGCTAGGCATGCTAGCAGAGTTTCTTTGGGAACCCCAGCAATCTGGCAAAGCTTATTAAGGAGCCTTGGATAGCTAGACGAGGTCCTTTAGGATCAGAATCGCAATCAGGCAAACTGGCAGAGATCATTGAGGAACAAAAAGGCGTAGCTACGCGCATTTAACACTATCCATAGTATTGTAGTGGTCACAAATTGTTGTTGGACGCTGGTGGAACGGCCCGGGGTATAGGAATGGTGGAATGGAAGAAGGGAATCGTGTGTTTGGGAGTGTCCGTTCGGGGGTCTGAGTGCTGAGCCCCCTCCCGCCGTTAGTCTGACTGTCTGCCTCTGTCTGTCTGTCTGTCTCTCTCACTGTTCGTCTTCTCGTTTAGGTCGTCTTTTCGTCGGTCACCAAAATCTGTCTGGCTACTGGGGAAACGCCAAAAATCAGACCATATTTGGGAGGGATTTAGGAAAAGGGCAAACTAGCAGGGATTCTTAAGGGAATTTAAGGAGGCGGGCTAGCAGAGTTTTGTTGGGAAATTCAGGTGAAGGCGATCCAGCAGATATCTTTTAGGAACCTGTAAGAGGCTAACTAGCAGAGGATATTTAGGATATTCAACGGGGCGAGCGAGCTGAAATCCTTTAGGAAACGTAAAAGGCAAGCAAGCAGAGACCATTTAGGAACGGAAAAGGGTCAGCGAGCAGAAAGTATTTGAAAACAGGGCAAACTAGCAGAGATCGTTTAGGAATGTTGCATAATCTGAGGTTGCATATGCATAATCTAATTGCAGAGGTTTTTCGTAATTTCGAGAACACGAACTCGCAGAATTTTTTCGGAATTTCCAGAAAGCGAGCTAGCGCGTATGCTTTGGGATTTTCAAGAAGGCTCTCTCGCAGAGATCATTGAGGCCTTAAAACCTTAAAGTCCCGTGACCCCCGACCAAAAATGATTTCACCAAAAAGTGATGAATCCGAAAAATGGAGAAATATCGCGCGGATTAGCCGGACTTTCCCGGATTTCAGCGCAAAATTGGTGGCTTTGAATTTTTGCTAATGGAGGGAGGAGGCTGGCCGAGAGTGGGGGCACAAAATAGGGCAAAGCCCGGGTGGGTTGTTTTCCAAAATGCACCTCCGCCATTTTTCGCCTTCCACTCAGCAAGTGCATGAAAATATATGGAGAGCAGGGGGGAAAGGGAAAATATGTGTCGGAAAGGGCGGAGGATGGCGGATAAAAATAGACAAAACAAAGCCGTAAAAGGCGTTTAAAGGGATTGAAATTGTCGAAGAAATCGGGTACACATAGGATAACGGGGGGGATAAAATAACGGGGGGGCACTCATTATTATGAAATTTGCAATTACTGAGGGATTTTGCGAGTGCCATTCGATAGAGCGTCGAAAAATATACTAAGAGAATTAATTTCAGCCCGAAATAATGTAATAGAAATTTTTTATTGAATAAACAAAAATTGAGGAAAATCAATGGGCAGCACATAGGATAACGGGGGAAGTCAAATTTTCGAAATTTTCGAAATTTTCGGTATTTTGAAAACGTCATTCGATAAAGCGTCGAAAACTGCCCTAGGAAAATTAATTTCAGCCCGAAATAATGTAAATGAAATTTTTTATCGAATAAACAAAAATTGATCAAAATCCATGGGTAGCACATAGGATAACGGGGGAAAGCCAAATTTTGAGATTTTCGATATTTTGAAAACGCGAATCGATAGAACATCAAAAAATATACTAAGAGATTTTTTTACAACGCGAAAAAATGTATTATAAAAGTTTTATAGCCTAAAAACTATTTTTGAAAACTATGGGCAGCACATAGGATAACAGGGGGAATTTTTTCGGCGTTTTGAATATTTTCGAAATTTTGAAAATGCCATTCGATAGAGGACCGAAAAATATACTAAGAGTTTTTTTACAGCCCGAAAAAGCTTATTTAAAAATACTTTTATCATATAAAAAGTTTGAGTGCCCCCGTTATTTCCCCCCCCTCCGTTATCCTATGTGTACCAGAAATCGGAAAGCCCACCAGTTTCGAGATTTTCGAAAGATACCGACAATTTTGTGTCGAAAAATTATAGTAATCGGTTTTCTCGAGTTCACAATCCCTTTAAAAGTCTAAAACCCTAGAGAAGATCATACATACGTGAAAAAATAGTCTAAAAGAACTCAGAGGTCAAAAAGCGTCGAAAATTGCGAAAAACACCGACAGTTTTGACGGTATAAAGAAGTAAAAATTATATATGGAGTTTTACTGGCTTCACAAACCCTTTAAAAGCTCAAAAAATGATGTAGGAGAAGAAGAAGAAGAAGAAAAATACGTAAACATTTTTTAAAGGGACAAAGAAGTCAGAAAACAGATTTTTCGAAATTTACGATAGATTTATATCGAAATCTATGACTTCCCAGTCCTTTTGAACTAAAAAACCTCGACTACCAACCTTTGGCAAACGAGTGCAGAATCTCCTCGACGATCCGGGTGGTCGTCAGGGCTTTGGCGGCTTCCGGATCCGTCGGCGAGCCGGTGTTCTGCAGAGAAAATTGGGTAAATGGTCTCTGCTAGTTTGCCAGGGCTAATTTTGACTGGTAGGTCCCTTTAGTCCCAAAACCAAACTCCATTTATCTGACTCACCTGAGCATCAGCCGCCTGGTCGGCCTGCTGTTTTTGGGAGGTCGACTTGACGCGCTTGCTGTGCTTCCGGCGCCGGTTGGCGAACCAGCGATTTACCTGGAAAAAGGGGAAATGATCGCTGCTAGCTTGCCCAGAAGTTGGGGAGACTTCTTAAAGAATCTCTGCTAGCCTGCCTGCTAGGCCGATTTTCCCTACTGGCATTTGCTAGCTTTCCCTGATTCCTTAAAAGATCTTTGCTAGCTTGCCGTAAGTTCCTAATGGATATCTGCTAGTCCACCGGATTGCTTTTTCCCAAAAGGCCTCTGCTAGCTTGCCCGAACCATCGGGATTTCCATAAAAACACTGCTAGCTTGCCTCGTTGATCAGATTTCCAAAATGCTCTCTGCTAGCTAGCCTGAGAATTCCCCAAAAACCGCTGCTAGCTTTCCTTGCCACCCAATTTCCCAAATGATCCCTGCTAGCCTGCCCCCATTGCAGTTTGCCACTTGGCTGAACGACCTCGCGGCGTCGGCCAATTTCCCCTCTTCGGCTAGTGTCGGTGGCCTGTTTGTTGGCTGTGGGCCGAGAAAGCCTTGACCCCAAAAAGAATCCAGATACACCACGAAAAATGGATGGAAATTGTGGAAAAACAGGGGGCGGAAGGGGGTCGACTCGGAAATCAACCAAAACAAGCCGGGGAATTCGGGAAAACAGGAAAAGCTACAGTTTTTAAGGGTAGGGATCGAAAGATTGAGTTATGCTGCTAAGTGGGCAAACTAGCAGAGATCTTTTAGGAATTTTTAAGGAGCAAATAATCACTTCTTGCAATGCCAGAATTCCAAAAAAAGCTTTGCTAGCAAGCTGTTAATTTCGCCAAGAATCTCTGCTAGTTTGCCCAAACTTCCTACAGAATTTCTGCTAGCTTGTTCCTAATTTCCTAAAAAATCACTGCTAGCCTGCCTTGAATTTCCTAAAAAATTACTGCTAGCCTGCCTTGAATTTCCTAAACAACTTCTGCTCGCTGACCTTCAATTTCCCAAAAAAAAAGTCAAATTCCTCAATTTCCCACGATTTTCCAATTTCCCACCCTCCCAATCCCGCTAAATTCCGTTTCACTCCCCCTTACATGCATATAAGTGGTCTTCAAATCCAGGGCGATCCTGTCCTTCATTTCCCTGGTTGGATAGAGATTATTCTCATTGTCAGCCAGCCACCGTTCCAGCAGTATTCCCTGTTCGTGTAGACGGGCTTTTTCCGCGGCTAATGTTGACGGGGATACGCTTCGATTATCCGTATCCATCGCCTCTGGGGCCGGAGGCGCCGCCTCGTTCTGAAAAATTAGTTTAGATAAATTTTTTCTATGTATCCACGCGCCCTTTAAAAACGTGAAATTTCTATCGTATCCTTAGATTCTGAGACCCGCAATTCTTACAGTATCCCCTTGGTTGCGAGAAGCTTCTTTGAAAAACGCTAAGACTACCGTATGTCAGCTGCCTTCAACGCCCCTTTAAAACACGCCATTTCTACAGTATCCCTCGGGGCCACGGAAGTTCTAAAAAGCGCTATTTCTACCGACTCTCTTAAAAAGCGCTACCACTACCGTAACTCTGCTTCCTTCCCGCCTCCTTTTAAAACGCGCTATTTTTACCGTATCTCTTGGCTTACCGTCTCCCTTAAAAAGCGCGAGCACTACCGTAAGCCTGCCACTTTTCTAAAAACGCGCTATTTCTACAGCCTCCCCTGGGTTCCAGGCTCCCTAAAACGCACAATTTCTACCGTACTCCCCAGGCAACAAACCGTGGAAATAGACTATTTCTAAAGGACTGGCTAAAATGTGCGATTTCTACCGTATCCTCCAGTCTACCGTGTTCCTAAAAAGCACTCTATCTACCGTCTTCCGTACCTCCTTGGCGAGACCGTCATGGTGGAGGACTTGGCGGTCTTCGCGTGGGGATGGCGCCTCGGCCACCTTCGCCACCACCATCCTCTCACACCGGGAGGTTGGGTATTCTGCAAATTTTGGGCGGTTTTTAGGGTATAACCACTTAATACGAAAGGAATTAATGAAAAAACATAACTCTTAAGGTGTAAAGAGCAAATTACGGAGATTTATTTCGTGAAATTCCACTTAGATACTGTATACGTAACAATACGTCGGCTACGGTATTTTTGAGACAATTTGCACCCTAAATCGTGCCCTTTTTCCGTTCACATCCACACAACAAAATTCCCTGGCAGGCTGGCTTTGGCCACGTTGCAGTGAGGGCCAGAAAGAGGGGCACTTTCGAAACCCCCGCCTTGCATCATGCCAGGAATTGGCAAGAAGACTACGCGACACTCCGATGGACACTAAAAAGCTGCTGGAAATGATGGGGCCCACGTCTTCAAGAAGTTCAGGCCGGGATGAGTGAAATCCTGCTTTTAAAGAGAGTGGGACAGTTGGAATTTAGCGGAAACTGTCGGCAGTATCATTGCGTATCCTAGAAAATTTTTTAGTTAACCTTTTTCAAGCTCTGAACTGAATAAACTAGAACGTGTTAGAGCAAAGATACTGTAATTCATCTTTTAAAGGAATGTGACAATCGGACTCCAGCATGACGTGTCAATAGTATCGTTGCGGACTCAAAATAACGTAATTCCCAAAGAATCTTGGCCAGCTTGCCAGCTCAAAAAAATTTAGGTTTTTCTCGAAGCCAGAAGTTTTCATAAATTCCGTATAGTTTTTAGGTACAGTAATTGAAGCTTAAAGTCCTCTAGCTACCGTACCCCGGTTTTAAAGGGAGTGCGACAGCCCTTGTCCCGGCTCCCAGCGATGTTTTTACATTGTTTGGTCACCCAGATCGGCCCCTCGTCGGAAAGTGCGGGAGAACGGGGCGCTCAGCCGGGGGGTCAGCCCGATTCCTCTTTTTCAACCGACGGAGGGGAGGCGAGAGAGAGAGAGAGAGAGAGAGAGAGAGAGAGAGGGGAGAGGGTGATCGGCTCGCGAGCAACAACAAGGGCAGCAGGGACGGGTGGAAGGGGGCCCGCGTGTTTTTCTCGACCTCGCCGGGCTCGAGCCCTCGCCCCGAACGGCTTTTCCCCGCTGCAAAATGCGCGTTGTTATGATACTCGATTTAAAAGGGTGGTGACAGTTGAAACAGCAAATTTTTAGTCGAGCAAGCTAGCAGAGATTCTTTGTGAACGATAGGCTAGGCTAGCAGAGTATCTTGAGGATATTTAGAGGCATGTTGCCGGCCTTCTTCAGGACTTGGACAGGTAAGCTAGCAGAGATTTTCAGGATTTCTGGAAAGGCAAGCTAGCAGAGTTTATTTGAAATTTAATTTCTGGGCAGATCAGCAGAGATTCTTTAAGGAGTTCAGGCGTGCTAGCAGGGATCCTTTCGGAAACGCTATGGTAGTCTAGCAGCTATTTTTATGGAAGCACAGGGGAAGCTAGCAGAGATTCTTTGAGGAATTCAAGAAATCCTGGTGATCCCATCCCTTTAGGGCAGCGTTCCAATTTTCCAAAAAATTTCTATTTTCCATTCCATTCCATTCCACCCTGTATACGCCGTTGTGTCGCGTTGTCGGTCCCGGAATTTCGATGCTGGTGGGAGGGGGTGGGGGCTGGGCTCGAAAAAGCGTGAGGGGACGGCCCTATCGAGCGGGGGCCAGGCCGGGGGCGGCTGCACAAAGTGCAGAGTCGTAGCCAGGGGATCTGCTGCTGTGCCCAGAAATGGGAATGGCGAGAGAGTGAGAGAGGGAGAGAGAGAGACAAACAGACACCAACACCCCCTCCGTTCCCTCCGCCTTGCGAAAGCCCGCGCGCGTTTTCGTCGCCCTCTCGTTTTTCCGCTTTTCCTCCCCCCGCTCTTGCCAACTGGCGCCAAAACGCAGCGCAAAACGCACAGCCCCCGCCGCCGCCTGGAATTGAGCCCGACGCACCGCCCGGAGGAGCCCCAGAAAGTGCACAAAGCACACGGCGAGTCACGCGAATCACCCCAGGAGTTTTTCGACCTTTCTCGAGGCAAGAGAGGTTAAAGGGAGGCTAGCAGAGAGCATTTGGGAACCTAGTGGGTTCTAAAAATACCTTTTAAAGGCATTGGAAAGTCGAAAAGTTGCTAAAATTTACGGGGCAAGCTAGCCGAGATCCTTTAGGACCACAATGAAAGCGCAAAAATACTAGAAAGGACCTATATATTGCTTTCAAGGGATTGGAAAGTCAGAATATAGCTGCTTTCAACTGGGCAGTCTAGCAAAGACGATTGAGGAATTTCTGAGGGTGCAGGGGAACAGAAGTAAGGTAAAAGGAAAGTAATCCACAATAGTACGGAGCAATCGACGGGTATTTTGCCTTCAACGGCCCTTTAAGACAAAAATTGTCCAAGGAATGGGTTTAAATTCAATTAAATTCAATTAGCATAAACCCAGGACAACAACAACTGGCGGTAATCATTGGCGAAGTGCAAAAAAAGCGATTTAGAGGGGGGAAAAGCATAGAAAAGTACAGTTTTTAGTCTTCAACAACCCTGTAAGAGCAAAAATCGGCAAGTTATTGGATTAAATTTTATATAAATTGAATTAGCGTAAAAGCAGGTAAAAACACCTAGCAGAGATCACCGGGGAATTGGCAAAATCCGTTTTAAGAAGAGGAAAAGCTGGTGGATACGAGCCGCCGTGGGGGAAATCAACGAGCCCCGGCTCCTGGCCGTCAATGGGAATTGAGCGGAATTGGGGGAAGGGGGATGATTTGACGGGGAAAGGATAACAGATCCGCCACAATCCTATCCACTAACAAGGGAAGGAGATGACCGGGTGATACGCCACCCACCATCCACTCGCTTTCACGCCTTTTAAGGGGGCATGGAAGGCAGGGGGTTGTCGTTTTGAAAATAGGCAAATGGTCCCTGCTAGCTTACCGCATTGCATCCGATTTTATATGGCCTTCTTGGTTCCTTTAAAGCCACGAAGGGGGCAGGCGAGCAGAGATTTTTGAGGAATTAGCGAGTAGAGCTAGCACAGACTATTCAGGTATTCCAGAAACAGAGATTCAAGGCAGCTAGCAGAGAATCTTGGGGAAATTGGTATGGCAAGATAGCAGAGGTTGTCGAGATTTCGAAGGGGAAGCTAGCAGAGATTCTTTGTGGAATTCGAGCGGCAAACTAGCAAAAATTTTTTGCTGAATTAGATAGTCAAGCAAGCCGTGATTCTTGCGGAATGTATGAGGCAGGCTAGCAGAAAATCTTTGATGAATTACAATAACAAGCTAGCAGAGATGCAATGAGGAATTGACAAGGCAGGCTAGCAGAGATTCTTTAAGGGATTCTAGAGCCAGAGATTCAGGTCAATTTGCATGGCAGGCTAGCAGAAATTCTTGGGGAATTCCTTCGCAGAGGAAGCTAGCAAAGATTCTTTGGAAATTTCGAAGGGCAGGCTAGCAGAGATTCTTTGTGGAATTCTAGAGTAGCGAAAGGTGTAAAAATTTCAAAAAGTGCAATCCGCAACCACCCTCCCGGAATTTTGTCAGCCACTCGTTAATTCCATTGCACGCCGGCTGGCCGGGGCATTCTGAGTCATTGTGGCGATGGTCGGCCAACACGATAGAGGCATTTGTGGGGAGGGGATGGGCAGGTTAGAGGGGGCAAACTGACGACCGGGGAAGGGGACGGACAAACAAACCGGCAAATATACACCAACCACCCGCCATGCCAAACCCCGCACAGCAACAACTCGGCCGGGGAAAAACAATGGAAAAGATGGACGCCAGCCAGAATGAATAAATAAGTCGTAAATAGGCAGTATTAGCGTATTCTTCGGTTATAATATGGTTTCAAAAACCTTCAGGCAATTTAAAATATTTTAAACAATTTCAAGCGTAAAACCGGATGAATTTTACAAATTTTTCAAGAAAATGTGCTTTTTTGAGCGCCGGGAAGCTTAAAAAATGCAGGATAGGCTAAAAACTGATAATACGGAGAAAAATCCCGGGCTCACTGACACTTTAAAGGGACCAGAAAGGTTAAAAAACGCCCTGGAGGTGAGCATGAGCTGTGAAATAGAGAGATCAAACCTGGAAAAGGGCTGGAAATGGGCAAAAACGTTTGAGAATGAGTAAAAAATTCTCGGATCATTTCACTGTTCCTTTAAAGGGGCAGGGAAGGCCGGGAAATTTTCGCAATAGTAGTGAATGATCTGCGAGGTAAGTATTGCCCAAAATGCCAGTAGCGATTCGATCAGAAAATTTAAAAAAAAACCGGGAGCTAAACTCATTCTTTGGGACGGGGGGATCTAAGTTGGAGATCCCAATAAATCTGTCAAGTAT